AATTCCTCAACTTAGATAACATGGCGTGGAAGAAACTGGGGTTTTTTTGAAACTAAAGATCAAAGACACATTAAGATCTAGACTTACTGCCATGTCCCAGAATTGATACAAAGGTAAAATGGATTTTGGCCTCTGTAACATAGAGGTTAGTTTTGTGTTTATGACCCAGACCAAACATAGAACACTGGCAAACACAGTTGATATCACCCTACGTGCTCTTTGAAAACAATAGGCAGTTGCTGTTTTAGAGATAACAAAATAGTTCTCACATTTGTTCCTCCCAATAACCATGTGAAGTCAATAACATGTCCATTTTACAGATGGGGAACTTCAAGTTCAGAAAAGCTAAATAATTTGCCTGAGATCGTTTGATTAGCAAGTGTTAGAGAATCTTGAATCTAAGGCCTTTACTCTACCATGTATGGCTGTGATATTTTCCTCAAATAAAATATTTTATGTTGATTTCTCTGTAGTATTTCTATTGTATTCTTCTCACCTATGCAAAAATCACCAATGAATTTGGAGACTAAGCAAAATTTGGATTCAAGAGAAATTGTCAATTTCACTTTTTTTTATTTTAGTTTTCAAGAGTCATTTAATACAAGCTATTTAGCTTTCATCAATTCTGTTTATCTTACCACATATATTGCTCAAATGTATTGATATTATTTTTCATGTCCATAGTATCTTCCAGCTCCTCTGATTTTTAGTATAGGTAGCTAAGAGAATACAAGTATAGCAAAACTCTGTGCATTTGCTGCTGATCCAAATTCTGAGAATCCAGAGGACAGAGAATACAAGAGGCAACACAGTTTCTGAATTTTTCATTTCTCATGGTTCAATTCCCATGTGTCATGTGTGGAACACATTTTGTGTTAGGCTTCGTGGCCTGATGCTTGTTTTTGATGCTAGTCAAATTTGCACTTGAAATACACTGTTTAAGTTCTCTTCTTGGTCAGTGTCAAGAGAAGAGAAAATATTTCACACACCTACAGCATCGTAAAAACCCTTGCCAAATCTATGAATCTGACTCTGCATTATCCTTCCCCAGAAGGAGAGCATAATTCCATTATCCATGAATCATCTCCTCCTATATTGTAACATTACTGTCTCACAGAACCAGTGTTCACTGGGCTGAGAATGGGGAGGGAGGGGAAAGGAAGGGGAGAGAGCATGGGGGCGAAGCACAGGTCATTGGCATGATGGACAAATTGGAGGTTTCTAGAGCCTGAAGGGGGAGGCCTCCCTCACTTGATAGCTCAGACATTACTACTGACTAGTAAATAACTGCTGTTGATTCTTTCAATATGAATATTAAAGTTTATTTTTCCCAACCTAAATTATATCATATTTCAATATCCTTCCTGTGGAGAAGGTTAAACCATTTAATGGAAATATATATATTTGGCCAACATCAATGAGTATAAAGGCTTTAAAATATTTCTAATCCATTCTTAGTACATTATAACTTGCTCTTCATCTTTGTGCATTTATTTCAAGCCCTCAGTACCAGTTCTAGGGCCTCTGTTTGAGCATTACTAAATAAGTCAATATGCAAAAATACAGGGTCTGGCACAAATAACGCCCCCACATTTTTAAATTACAAAATCATAAGCATGTAATTCTGTAGCATAACAATATCACACTTAAGTATACTATATGACAATTTAGGTGAAATGTTCAAATTAAAACTATAAATTACTACACTCATTATTACCCTACCAACCACACTCAAGCAGGCCTTACTTCTGCCGGCCCCTGTATAATTAAAAAAATAACACTATAACTGTATTTTCCAGGGAGATGAATTAAATAAGTTCAAATATTATTCACAGATCAAAAACTACATGTCAACCACATTTCTATGAGGATTCAGGATTTTAAAAAACTATAAAAATGTATGGATAGTTGTAATTAGTCTAATCAGCCACAAGAGGTCACTGCTGCTCCACAGAAATACAGATATTGCTTGTCTGCTTAGGTAGTTGACTCACCAAATCAAGGGAGAAAAATGGTTTAAATTCTTTTTAAAAATGTAATGTCAACATCCTTAGAAAATATACACTCATTTAAAAGGAATATATCTTGCATCCGTATTGCTTGGAAGACTGTGGCACTGGGATTATTAACTCCATGCTTCCGTAGCAGTGGGTACTGGGGCTCAAAGACCCATGCGTTTCAGACTACACTGCATTTCCTCTCTGGTGAAGCATTCAAAGTACTGACTGAGTCCATCTGCCTGGATGTTTCTCTGTTGCGTAGTTCAACAGGTCAGGCTGCTTATTTAATTGTTGTCACCTTTGAGGAAAGTCACATACTTCATCCAAATTTGCACTAGAAAATGGAATATCAATTATATTCTCTAAGATGCAATGAGTTTGAAATACTAAGGAAAATAAACTAATGATTTGAAGTCCAGAAAGTGCCATGGGATAGGGGTGAGAGCAACAATTTTGAGGAGGAGAACACTCTCCAGTTGGCTTTGTCAAAATGATAGTGGTGAACAAGCTATTGTCTAACATACAAGGATTCTATGTTTGAGCTCAGAAAATACTAAGAACCAGAGAAGCCTCATTCCCAAAAGCGGAAAAGTTTTTTGTTTTGTTTTGTTTTGAATTTCATGTCCTGAATCAAAATAAGCTTTCACTATCTTTTATTTTGGTCCTTATTCATTATTAAATTTGTAAGGAGTTAAAGTCATACATTAAAAAATGACTAGCCTTTAAAATGTCGGTTATTCATTTAATTTTATACACCAAGTAGCTTTGAATTTTAGAAACATTTTTCAATACAGCAAATATGTTTTATATATACTAGCAGTACCACAGCATTGAGAATTTACAAGAATAAAAAATAGAAGTATAAATATGCCTTGCCTAAATTTATTTGGTATCCATAACAAATGAGGCAGAAGATCAAGCCAAAGAATAGAAGTGGGCTTTTTCACTTTAACACTGCATTTAATTAATACCATCACTTTTAGTACAGAGAAAAATGAGTCTGACCAAAGAAAATTTCTTTTTTAGATGGAATATGTATTTACTGACATTTTATGAAAAATGTAAAATTACAACTTCAGTGAAAAACATCACAGTAGGCTCAGTCATCCAGTTCATAGTACTGTAAGGAAGTATCTGCATTATTAATCAATTGGGAATCTGTGACAATTTGCCATTAATAAATGTCTAGTCAACAGTTATTGGTGGGTAAATATATTGTAGCTAAGATGCTTTTTTGAACTGCCATCTATTTTAGGATTTAATTAAAACCAAAATCCACTTTAAATGTTCCTTTTTCTTTATTGCTTATGAAAATATGATTTTTATAATCTGGCTTCCTTGCAATTATATTTCATGGTGACTTGCCTAGATTTTGCCTCTCAGCATATGAAAAGCCCCCAAACTATATAAAAATGCTGGTAAAAATAGCCATTCACTTTTTCTTTTTTTGCTGCAGCAATTCTGTTTTGAAAGAACAGGGACATGGTTTGGCAAGCCAATTAAATGAAACAGACTTAATGTTGCAATTCCTGATTTTTACCCCTGTAATTGAATTGTTTATTTTGGAGGATGAGAGAGGATACAGACCAAAGACATTTTTCTAAAATCTTAATGAACTGTGGTCAAAGTTACTTAAATACAGATGCTATAATATTTGTGCTGCAGTCAATAAACTTTCACCTACAACATAAAAACATGCATGCAGCTTGCACATTGCCAACAGGGTCTGTACAGAATCAGACTGATGGATGAGTTCACAATACAGATGAGCATAGGGACACAGTAATGTCAGCCATAGAAAAGCAAAGACAAGTGACGGAGGGTTGGTCTTTTTTCCTCTAAGATTTATTGTATACATTTATTAAGTTGCTTTCAAAATCATCCTTTTTAATGAGGCCATTGGTGGAAAGCATGTCTTGGAATGTGTTCTGTTTACACTTCTAAATGAAGTGTCAAGTCCTTAGAGGACTAGTGCCTGCAGGACACACAATGGAACACAATAGGACAGCCTGACAAATCCCAAACAGAAGAACAGAGAAAGCTCGCACTTCCACTCACTACATTAGGGTCCTTGAGAAAACTGGAATGAGAAACTGGTAAGCTCCCAACCACAGGCATATAGCAAGCTGCCTTCCCATCTGCAAGCCTGGTCTCTGAAAACTCCCTAAGGTGAGAAGCAGTGGGGAAATTTCCCTCCTCAAATTTGCTTCTTGGCTATATGGTTACTTTACTGGTTTTGGAAATGTAGAGACCAGAAGAAGTTGACAGTGAAACCTCTAGTCTGATTTTACAGGGATGGGTTTCAGAGACAAGGCTTCAAGTGTGAAACTTGGTATTTCTGCCATCTCCTCACATTTTGCTGTTGTCTACTTTCACTTTAACCTTTCAACACTTTTCCCTGCACTTGCTTTATCATAACTCAGACACCTCTGAAAACTGCACCTAGTGCTGCTTTAACCTAACACCATCTTTTGATAGTTTCCTGCAATTTCCTTTTAAGCCGGGCATTGTTTCACGGCTCTCTCTCCAAACGTTCCTGTCATCAAGCATTCTCCTGGAATCAGTTCGAGGTCCGAGTACCTGGGATCATTCACCTTTTCCTTGATTTGCCAATGAACTGCAAACCTGCTACAGTGGTAGATTTGGTTCTACCAGAAAAGCAGCAGATGTGGGGGATTAATTGTAAAAGAAGTTTTATCTTAAAACAAGTGCGACGTTAATGGAATCAATAAAAGGTCTTATACAATAGGCATTATATTAAACCAGAGTTCAAGCTTCACATTGATTGTGGTATTTAAATTTCAATGGGTTGATTATGTACGAGAGGAAAATGACCAGTATTATGAATGTACTAAAACGGACAGGGGAGGGCCTTGCCAGCAAAGTGAGAGGGAGAGGGAATGGGAGGGGGCACCATGTTCCCTTTGTAGTCACCAGAGTTCAATAAAGCACCACTTATTTCCCAGCTTTTAAGAGCGCTTTTATCACAATGGTTCATACCTCACACTCCCTGGAGCCTGATTTGTTATAGGTGCAGGGTCCCGTCCCATTCAGCAGCATCTCGCTGGTCTCCGTGTTGGTGGGTTTATAATCTACATAAAATTCCTGGGTACTGGGAGTCATTTGTTTTAGAGACTGTCTTTTCTTCTTCCTGTGCCTTCGCATGAGGGAGCGCTGCTGCAGCTGCTTCATGCTCGCAGGGTATCGCTTCCATGACACGTAGATAACGAGCAGGATGACGAGCACAGACAGGAAGAGGGCCACGCTCCCTGCGATGATTTTATGGAAAGAGATGTGCTCCGTGTCAGCATCGGTCTCTGGGCCAGGCTCCGTGGCTCCCACCGTCGGGGGCAAAGGGGGTTTGCTCTCATGCTTCGGCCTGGGGAGCTTGGGCTTGAATGTGGGCTTTGGGAGAGCCCTGGCCAGGTCAAATCTCTCCGTGGTACTTTTGCCACAGATGCTGTAGTTCTTCACTGCATCTATCACATTGACCCCTTGCAGCTCTTTGGGACTGGCACAGATAATTGTATTCTCCCTCAGACCTTTAAAACTTTTCAGCCAGTTTACCAGGGAACAAATATTTCTGCTGCATTCCCATATATTCCCAGCAAGACTGATGTCGTTGAGGGATATCCAAGAATCCAAAATCTCTTGACCAATAAATGTGAGCTTGTTGGAATCCAAGTTGAGGCGCTGCAGATTCGGGACACACTGGAAAACACTAGGTCCACTAAAAGCTTCAATCTCATTGCCTGATAAATCAAGTCTTTGTAATGAGCTCCAGGTCCAGGACATGGTTTGTCCTATGACACTGATTTTATTCCACTGCAAGTACAGGTTCTGAAGACTCACTAACCTTGGGAAAAGGGCCAGGTTGAGCTTAGAAAACTGATTGTGCTCCAGGTGAAGTTCTTTGAGTCTGATCATGCCAGCAAAGACATTCCTGGCTAAACTTCGGATCCGGTTATATCCCAGGTCCAAAAGTTCCAGGTTGCGGCAGTCTTGGAATATTCGCACAGGGATGGTTCTTAGGGAGTTAGACCTTAAATGTAAACTCAGCAGCTTCCTCAAGCCCCGGAACTGTTCAGATCCCAGAGAATGCAGCTGATTATAGGACAGGTCCAAGTTCCGTAAATTTGTCACAGGTCTGAAGGTATTGTTGAGAAAATAGGAGATTCTGTTGGAACTCAGAATCAACTCTTTGAGTCTGCGTATTCCATTAAAAGCATTCTCATCAATATTGCTGATATGGTTATGGTCAAGGTACAGCCAGGTGAGCTGGTTGAGCCCTTTAAATTGATTGTACTTAAGTTTTTGAAGGCTGTTATAGCGAAGGGACAAACCTAAGCAACCAGCAGATATACTTGAGGGTATCTCCTGTAATTTCTGAGATTCGCAATATACCATTTTGCCTTCACACCTACAGCCCTTAGGGCATCCTCGTTCGGCAGAAGAAAGCATTGTCAGTAAGACAGTGGGGGCTATAACCAGTGCTACAGCTGATCCGCTCAGTAGCCTAATTACATTGAAACCTGAAAATAAAAACAACTTAGAAAAGTTATCCCCCCAAAAAATAATTCATTTATTTTTAATCAAGCAACAATAAGCATGTACTTGCTTTTTAAAAAATTTAAATCTAGATAACAACATTTAACATCAAATAGTCATCTCCTTGTCATTTAAAGAGAATTGTCTTTAGGTTTTTTTTTTTTAAATAGTTAAGCAAGAAACGTGTTCACTAAGCAGTTGAATTTATAGTCTTAGAGCAGAGCAAGGTATCTAAAATAATTAAGGCAGAAGTAATACACAGACTAGAGGATTTTTTTTTGTTTTTGTTTTGTTTTTTTAAGAAGGAAAGAAGAAAAATGACAAAACATACCCATCCTTTGTATTGTTCAAAGGTCGTCCTTAGGTCTTTTGCTTTGGCTCAGGGGCCGCTTGCATGACAGCCCCTGTCAGTTGCACTGTAGTGAGTCAGGGCTCGCTGACACCCAGGAAGAAAAATTGGACCCCTTGGGAGATGAACCGATTTTGGAACATTATTCTTTGCCAGCCACGCGGAACACTCCAAGAACAAATAAATCCCAACTCCGCATTTGCAGCAAAACATCAAAATCTTCCTAGGTAATAGGATCTTCATGGATAGTATGTTTTTGCATCTTTACAGTTTTGGGGGGTGAGGGTGTAAAAAAAAAAAAAACTGGCTTCTACAATTTCTTCTTATCGGAAAGCATGATGTATTCCTCCAGGCAACGTGGAGCTACCTGAGCTGCCACATCTGTATTCCATAGTCCAGCATTTCTGGTGGTGAGCACCCAGTTCAGCCACAGAGCTGCGTTGGAGCCCAGGAGGCAGGAGAGCCCTGTAGCGCGCACACGCTCAGCTCACTTCTGCAGACTGTCATTCTGAAAGCTGCTCGGACTGTTGCTTTGGCTTCAGTGAATGCAGTCTTATGTAAAGCTGCCCCCAGTGGTGAAGAACATTATGGGCATGTGCAGAAATGTCTCTCTTTTATCTTGCAAATGAGCAGGCTCTCTGCTGGAAAATGAATGATTGTTTTGGGTGGCTCAGTGAGAACTGAATGGTCACCATAATCAATAACTAGCAACGTTTTCTGTAATTTCCAAGTCTTGTTTTACAATTTGGCAACGTCTTTATTGTCTGCGTCCACTTAATCGCTAAACATGTGCTGCCCAGAGTTTTTCTGAAGCTTGACATTAAGTTCACAGACCGAATGTCAATTTTTCTTAACCTCAATGTAGGCTTTGAACTGAGATTTGGAAAATGAATTATTGAGCTTTCTACAGAGAAACATTAACTGCCTGCCCATTTGACCTATTGGAATCACAGTGTTTATACTGTATTATGCAAGGTGTCTCAGGATGCTAGAACACATACATTTTGGAATAGAGGAGAAAACTAATGACATATAAATCCATGTGTCCAATAGCCTTTCTGGTTTTCTCACAAAAGACGTCATTGGTTTACTGCCTTGTGACTTGGTTTGATGTTGTTTTGGTTTTTGTCCTTTTTTTAATTAGAAGAGAAATAAACCATTTTTAGTGTGAGTAGAAGAATCAAGAGATCATCTGGTTCAGTTTATTGATGCTGCTATTTACATAATAAATATTACATATTTAAATAGTACACTAATATTTACGGAGCTCTTTCTAAGTGCTTTGAATGGGGTATCTCATTTTACCTTTAAATAGTATTATGATGTGGGTCCATTATAACCTTTATTTTAAAGATGAGGGAACTGAAACTTGGAGAGGTAACTTGCTCAAGGTCATATAGCAAGCAGGTAGCAGAACCGAGATTCAGAAAAATATCTCCATTATACTTAAGGCTCTAATAACTTGATGATCTGCTCAACAGCATTGTTGTCTTCATTTAACAATGATTGAAATGAAAATTAGCCTGATCAAGGCATTGGGTCAGGGAAACTGTGGTGTAAAAAAAAATTATTACTTCTTAGAATAATAGTTTGGTATAAACTTTTTTGGCATGTCTTTTAAAGAAGTATTATAAACACTAAGGAGGGGTGGTTTAGTGATTAAGAATATGGATCTTGATACCTAAGTTCAAATCCTGGGTAAAATGTACCAGCTATGTAACCTTGAGTAGGTTACTTAGGTTCTCAATGCCTCAATTTTCTCCTCTACAAAATGGACATGATAACAAAAACCCATTTCATAGAGGGTTGAAAATTAAATCTTCTGAATATCTTTAAAGCACCTAGAATAGCATGTGGTACATCATAGGCCTGCATTAGCTGTTACTTGAATATCAGCTGATATTGCATATTGTTTAATATTAAATATTAACTACACCAATTGTCATGAACTCATAAAGGTCTTCTTTAGTGAAGATTTTTTTATGTTGTTCACAATGGATTTCTGAGATTAACTCAGTCTTGCCTTCTTTGGTAAGAAAACTCCCTAAGTCTCCATTATCTCAAATTTATCTTTAAAATGAATCTTTTGGTTCTATGGGTCATAATTTTTAGTTAATGTTGGATTCTTTTCTTCCCTAAAGCAGAATTTGGTAATATCCAGCCCATAAAGAAAACCATTTTTGTTTAAAAATAAATGGTATACTTTTACAAATCTGCTTTGTTAGTCTTTGTTAGGTGAATTAACTGTGGAAAACCTCAGAGAGCTTTCATATTATCTAAAGGGGAGAAATTTGGTAACAGTCATGAAAATCAAAAGGTCCCACAGATATAGTCACTGAAAAACACTATTTCCTTAGATAGGATGCTATTAGTAGGGTAGTGGCTTTCACCCAAAATGCTATGAATGCATACAAAACACCTAGAGAGCTTGTTAAAAAATGAATTTTCCAATCCCTCTCTCAAGATTCTCATTCAAGGGGATGGATAGAAGAGGCTGTACTTATGTAGCCTCTGATGGACAATGAAGTTAAAGAGATGTGCTGTAAGGGAATGATTAAAAATTTTAAATTTTCCCTCAGTAGGAAGAGAGGATATACAAATCTTTTCATTGTGATAGAAACTTCACGGTGATAAAGCCATTGTTTTGTCTACTTCAGTTTCCCTAATCCTTAGAACAGCACTTGGCACATTATAGATGCTCAATAAATATTTATTGAATAAAAATATTTTATGGGGGTTACAATTACGTTTAATGTAGGATAAACTAGTCATGTAATGCTAACGTTATGTACATGGGATCGATCCCGGCAGAGGTCCTCAACTAGTGGGATTAGATACACGTTTGGAGCAATTTTTTTCAATAATGTGTGTGAAAAGGCAAGAAACTGGGAAGAGGAAACGTGTAGATGGTCAGCAAGTGATCTTCACTTTTCATGTAGATATCTCTTGTCTTCATAGTTAAACCATATATTTTATGAGAATAGTAAATGTACTTCTGAATAGTACCTTTATCTTATCACAGCTTTTATCATCTAACATCCCCAGTGGGGATTGACAATTGGTATTTATTAAAAAAGACTAAAGGGAATCATATTTATAATCCCTCTCTTATGTGTCTGTGGTCTAAAAGCCACTGATTTTTCCCTGTCGCTTACTTTGTTTCTCCACGGGCAGGTATCGAGGTGCCTGTTCTGCCCAATAGCTGCACAGGGCCCCGCTAGGAGGGCTGGAGGCCCCACCAAGCTTGTGCTGCTTGTTCTTTTCTCCTTCCCTGATGACAGAAGCAAGATGAGCCCACTGAGAATGTAATTCTCTCTTTTTGCTTTTTTGGGGGAGAAATCTTGGATTATTTATGGGCTGCACATTTCGCCCTTCGTTCTCAGACATTTTTCTGGTATCTAGGCTTCCAATTTCATTTAGCTCCATAGCTTTGACTTCATATTCATTCTTTAGATCTCATAATTGATATTTCCTCTTAATGCTGACCCAACAGTCTTTTCCTCAACGTGAACAGTATCTGTTCTTGAGGTGGATCTGATTTCAGACACTTTGTGTAGCTCCCACCTTGGCCGTAGCCCTTAATGTGGGATCACTAGCCAGCCTGTCCTGGTTCAAAGTAATGAAGTGCTTGAAGAGAAAGACCATCATGAGACTAGCAGAGAGACATCCAAAATAAAATAATGCAGTTCTAAGTGAGACTGAATACTTGAGGATGCAGAAGTTACTCCCAAAGCATAGTCTCTGAAAAGAAGAAAAAAAAACCCCACCTTACATTCTAAAAATCTTTAGTAATTTGCCAGTGTACTTTTCAAAGTTTATCCTCCTTTTACTCATTGACTACATCAAGATGATTATTTCTGACTTGCTTTCAACAGAAACAAAATTGCACTACATTATATATTTAGCAAATTCATTTGCACGTAATACCACCTACAGAACAAACCATAAACTACCTGACAAGTTAAATTTCCCCAATGAATCTAGGGCCCTAAAGATTTATCCAATTATAAAACAGTGTCATGTATCCAAATTCTTTTTTTTAAATTATACTTACAGTACTTCAAATAGCTTAATATGTTTTGTTTAAATTGGGTAAATAAATCCAATCTCAGTATATAATGGCAAATTTCAGAACAATTTGAAACTAAATTGCCAAATATAAACTTGGAAAATCAGGCTTAAAGAGGATGTACTGATATATTAACAATGGGTTGGCCTCAGAGATTTCATTTATTTAAAAAATAATAGTTTGGGTACCCAGTATATACCAGACCCTGTTTCAGATTCTTGGAGCATATCAGTGTACAAAACAAAGATCTAAGCATAGAATCTAAATGGGTAAGAAGGACAATAAAAAGATAAATATAAATTGTTTATTATTAGGTCATGTGACTATAAGAAAAATTAAACTACTAATGACAGGGAAGACTGGAAGTGCAGTGTGAGGTGGATGCAATTTTAAATAGGGTGATTAGGACTACTAGGAAAGTGGCTTGGATAAACCCTTGAAGGAGATGAGGTTCACTAAATATATATAGAAGTGGCTAGTACAAAGGTCTTCAGGTGAAAACAGATCACATGTTCAATGTACTGCAAAGAGGCCAATCAATCTAGAGTAGAGAGAACAGGGGGTGGAGTTACTGGGGATGAAGTCATAGTGGTACTGGGTACTGGACCACGGAAGGCTTTGTACACCCTTATAAGAACTGTGGCTTTATTCCGGAGAGAGCTGGACTCAATATTTTATGCAGAGTAAAGATTTGATCAATTTGCTTATTGAAAGGATCGCTTGTGCTGCTGTTGTGGGAATAGATTCTAAACAGACAAGAGTAAAAGTGCAGAGGCCAGTAAGGAGACTGTTGTGTCCATCCAGGAGAGAGATGGCGGGGGCTGGGATCAGTGTGGTAGCACGGATGTGGCGAGAATTGCCTAAATTCTGGGCGTGTGTTTAGGTAAAAACAATGAGTGTGCTAATGGATGAAAAGTGGACCTATGAGGTAAAGAGAGAAAGTAAAGATGATTCCTACTTTAATGAGCTGAGCAACTGGAGGGATTGGTGAAGCCATTCACTGTTTCCAGGGGTCAAATTTGGGAATAAGATCAAGGTTTAACACATTTGAATT